GTGCAAACAATAAAAATTGAAAGCAGACACCCCGTCCACATGCTGCCCTCCAAAGGACCCCCTGCCTTCAAACTCTCCAGCCTTTCTTCCCATCATGACACCCACCCAATCTCTTTTTCACTTTTCTTCAGAAGGTTCAGTCCTGCCACCATCCACTCCCACAGTTATCTGGAACCAATACAGGAAGCTGACTTAATTGACCACAAAACTTCCTTCTTTTCCAGATTTCTTCAGTAGAGCCAATAGGATTTCTCCATGAGCCTCCTACCTGGCTGCTGAGTGATAGCTTTCGTTCTTTTCAAGCCTTGTTGGCTGCGATGGAGAACAAGCAGATGGGGTTGTCAGTGCTTTATCAAGCCACGAAGGAAAGAAAGAATACACACATGGAACTTACCTGTGGTGGTTACAGGCTTTCTTAATTAGAAAATAACGGACTTTTATATGTCCAGTACCTTCTCTGTTTACTGGACAGAAAGGGGAAATATTGGACTGTTGTGTTCAAAACTGGACACCTGAGAACCCTACTTAGGCAGTAGAATAATCTTGCCACCTTTTTCTCCTCCTGCCCCAAGCTAAAGATAAAATGGAGATTATCAGCCACACTACAGTTGCAGGTTCCCAGTCTGCAATTTCATTTAGATGCATTGCAGGGGCCCAGTTCTCATTGGGACCGCATCACAGGGGGATGAGGGGCTCATGCTTCTCTTGTACTATTTTCTTTAGCTTAAATGGCGCCGGGAGCATTGTTTGCACTGTCGGGAGGCTGCATATGCAAGCATTCAGCATATGTGCACCCCCATAGGACAAATAACTCTCCCAGTATCATTAGGGCTCAGGAAATCTGGGGGAGGGGAAGCCCTGCCTCCCCTGCCAATGTGGTCCTGATCAGAACTGAGCCCCTGCAGCATTTCCAACTTGAATTGCAAAAGTTGAAAACCAGGAACTCACAGCTGCTAGTATGGCTCCTAGTCCCCATGGCAAACTTGTGTAACATGCAGTCTGGCCCTGATAGCAGCAGGCTTCAGTTTTGAAGGACCCTGACCAAGATGTCCTTCAGTTGTTCACCCCATTAAGCACTACCACGCACCATCCTCCTCCACTCCATCTGCCTGTCCAATGTACAAATGTGCATGCATGCAGACATCCCTAATAATGGGGAAATTGTCTCTGAAGGCCCATCACCAGCTAGAGACATTTCCACCAGCAATTAAGAAGTCACCTGTGACATCTCTGGGGCCTTTTAGTCAATCTGCCATTAGGAGATGATCCCTGAAGGCCCATCACCAGCTAGAGATATTTCCACCAGCAAGTAAGAAGTCACTTGTGACATCCCTGGGGCCTTTTAGTCAATTTCCTAATAATTGGTGCCTATTGAGAAAACAGCTCTTGCCTGGATAGCCCAGGCTAGCCTGATCCCATCAGATCCCGGAAGCTAAGGAAGGTTGGCCCAGACTAGTATTTGGATGGATGACTCCCAAGGAATACCAGGCTTGCAATGTGTAGGCAGGCAATGACAAACCACCTCTGAACATCTCTTTTGAGACAACATCCACAGCCTCAGTCAGAGGTTCCCCTCCTCTACCCAAAATCCTGACACTGGCTCTGCATAGGGCAGGGTAAGGTGTGGGAAAATATCCCAAAATAAAATAAAATGAACTTTTTTTTTGGCACTATAGGAGAATTAGGTACAGACTGAGGCTTGGATCCAACAGATCATTTAAAGGGACAGAAAGATTTCTACCCACAGAGTTTTACATTCTTGCCTTTCTTCCGTCACTAAGACAAAGCCCCACTCCCCGAACAGAAATCCTTCCACCTGCAGAAATGTTCCATAGGATGCAAGCCTGTGGTATCTAAATATTACCTTAGTGCTCTGGCACAGTTTTCCTGTGTGTTTTTCCCCACGTGGTGTTGTAATGTTTATAAGCTCACTAGGATACAGGTCCTTAAGATAAGAACATACGAGAAGCCATGTTGGATCAGGGTGGCTAATGGCCCATTCAGTCCAACACTCTGTCACACAGCAAGGCCGCATTATGACTTTTGTGGGCCGTCCCACCATAATAATATCAATATTAAAGTTATTTTTGATATAACTTTAAATACTTCAACTTTTTTGTTGTTTTAGGCAAAATTTCATGGGCCCTAAAATTTCATTATTTTCTGATGTGAGAAAAAATTAAAACATTTTCTTCAACTCTATAAGTTCATTTCCCTCCTGATTTTAAAAGTATCATGGGCCCTAGGCACTGTGCCTACTGTACCTAATGGATAAGTCAGCCCTGTCACACAGTGGTCAAAACCCAGGTGCAATCAGGAGGTCCACTGTGGAGCCGGAACTCCAGAAGCCCTTCCATGGTTGCCCCTCAAGCACCAAGAATACAGAGCATCACTGCTCCAGACATAGTGTTCCATCTATACCTTGTGGCTGATGGACCCCGGCTCTACATCTTTATCCGATCCCCTCTTGAAGCTTATAGCCACCGCCGCTACTGCCTGCAGCAGTGAATTCCATATCTTAACTACTCTTTGGGTAAAGAAATCCTTCCTTTTATGTTTAATAGAAAACTGGCACATACATATTATACTTGTTAATTAGGTAATATTTATTAAATAGGCATTGCTGCAGTGTAATGCTTTACTGAAAGTAACTTCCCCCCCACAGCTACTGGAGGTGATAACATGAATGAATGTTAGCATTAGGAAAAGCATTCTAGGCAGGAACCTGGTAATGCCATGCCTGAATTTATAGGACTGTTGTGGTGCAACAGAGAATCCTGCCAAACAATTGACAACTGTGCAAACTGAGTAGCTGGTGGGGATGACAGGGGAGTGGACCCAGGATTTATTCCCATCCTTCTTGCTCCCAAATGGTTGGCACAATGATCACCAGTTTCCTAACTGGAGTATGCATGCACAGTGCCAGCATGTGGATTGGTAAGGGAATATGCAGTTTCAGTTTGTGAAGAAGATGCAATCAGTTGGCAGAATATGCCTGAATAACTGGGAGGTATCCAGTTGGGTCAGAACCATATACAGACTTTTCTGAAAGGTATCGATGGCTTACCTTAATAAAGAAGGACCCTTCCTGGTTAGGCATATGACAATGTTAAAGGAAGGGGGTGCACCTCAGAAGTGTATAAAGGTTGGTGGTACCCTAAGAAAAAAGCTCTTCTGTACCTATCTCTATGGGTTTTTTTCTTGGTTCTGTTCTTCTTGGCTTCTCTTTTGCTCTGTTGGGAGGGTATAGGATGACCATCTAAAATATTCAAGCCCAGCTACTGCAAGAAGAGAACTGACCAATGTGTTTTGTTTGCTTGATCTTGGAAACTGTAGATGATTAGACGTTAACATTAATCTTTTCACTATTCAGGCTCAGTGTTGTGATACGCCAGTGAAGATAAAGGCATTTTAAAGGTGCTTCATCAATAAGAAAATAAAGGGATTCTGTAATATTGATACTTCTGCATTTCCTTTGATGCCAAATATCATTTATGCATGAAATAAGATCTGATATTCAGTGAAGAATTAAGTATTTAAAAATGCTAAGTTTGGGTATAGCTTATTTTCCAAGTTTTATGCACTTTCTCACTCACTGCAAGTACAAAAGATCCAGACATTTATCCAAATTGGGGCTGAGAATAAAAATCCCACAATTACAATGGCTTACATAGGTGCTCTGACAACCTTCAGAGGATCATTTTTTAATAATTGGTGTCTACTGAGAAAACATACACAGCCATTAAACTTTACCATTATTTTGTCATAAACCCTGGCTTCCCCGAGGCATCCCATTTTCTGCCAAGTGCATAGTTCACACCTCACAGCAACAAGGATTACACACATTTGGCAACCTGAATGCTCCAATGTTAAAAGAGAGAAGGGGAAAACCATTCATAATTTTACAAATTTCTGTCATGAGAAGGGGAAAACCAAACATTTCATTCATAATTTTACAAATTTCTGTCATGATATACGTCCCTTCATTCTTTGTCACCACTGATGCAGTTCCATAATTTTAAGTCCACTCCTCCACATACTTTCCTAGGAGTAAACCCCATTGAATAGACTTGAGTAGAACTGCATAGGATAACAATGCTAGATTCTGGCGATTATGGTTTTTAAGGAGGCCTGCCTGGCAAGACAGGCAAAGCACAGAAGAGACACAGAATTAAGTTGTCTCATCCCATCAACTCTGTGCTCACAATGTAACCAGATTCTATGGATATTTTCTTAGAAGTCCTAATGGGCCAGGCAGGATTTGCAAGCCTCCATTTGGCGTCCCCCTACATAGCTGAGCCAAACCTCCCGTCTTGTGCCCCAAAAGCGTATCCCTAACGACACCACAGATTGCCTTCTCCATAACCACTACAATGGTTAGCTGGATTTACCCAGGTGTTCACAGCGCAATCCTATGGAGTTACTCCATTCTAAACCCATGGCTCTTAAAGTGATTTCGCACAGAATAAGATCCAGAAAAGCCCCCTTTGGGATCTTCCGCATTCTCTCTCACTTTTTTTTTTGTCACTCGTCTGTCCCTATTGTTTTGGGTCGCCCCGCCCCTTCCCATAAATGCTTTGCTCGCCCTGGGACTACCAGAGAGAGCAAAACACATGGGGAGGGGATCTTGAAGCAATAGGAACACACAAGTGATGAAAATCAGACTGTGAGACCGGGATATAAACACCCCCAACCCTCGGAGTATCAACACCGCTTTCTGACAACCTCGGCCTACCAGCTGTATGCCAACACCACTTTCGCGGAACTAGCTATTAGGCCTGACTCCCCTCTCTTGCCTCCCTGCCGAATGAATGCTTCACTCCTCCCCCTTCCATCCCCCCCCCCCCATCTGGATCCCTCCGCCGCTTATAGGCTGGTCAACCTTCTGCCTTCTCTCTCACCCGGACGAAGCGTGTTCGTAGTAATTTGCACAGTCCCCGCCCATCGAGGTGATGTCATGGCCTCTGATTGGTGGACGCTTCCGCCTGGGTTTCCGGTGCGAGAGAGCAGCAGGGCAGGGCGCCGAGGGTGGGTTGTCGGCTGCTGCTGTCGCTGCTGTCGCGGTCGGAGCCGGCAGGATGAAGCAGGGCCCCGGAAAACTAGGCGGGAAGCCCCGTGTCAACGGCTGCAGCCTCACCCAGAACGGCGGCCTGAAGAACGGCGGCCTGAAGAACGGCTACGTGCGAGGCGCTGCCGACGCCCACAGCCAGGTAAGGCGGCCAGCGAGGCTGTGGTGAGGCACTCCCGGCCCGGGTGGCCACTCCCGGTCCCAGGGCGGTTCTCTATGTCCAGCATGGGGCGAAGCTCCAGGTGCCGCTCGAGGAAGGGGAGCCGTGCCGCCCACGCGGCGGGTAGGGCAATGGAAGGAAGGGTGGCCTTGAGCGGCCAGCTCTCGGCTTCGTCCTGCCGGGCACTGCCGAAGGAGACCCGCCGGTCTCAAGCTTGATGCTTCCCCCCGCTAGCCCGCCCGCGGGGTTTTTTTTTTTTTTTTGGAAGTCGTCTGAGGAAAAAGAGGCCGTGCACTTTTCCTCCTTCCTCTCTTCCCCCCCCCCTTCCTTTCCCCTTTCCGGTCTCCGAGCCCAGGCTGTTCGCAGACGTCGCCAGTGACACACACGCAGCCCAGCTTCAGAAGGATCCGGGTCCAGCCCTGCCCTTTTACAAGCCATTGACATCCAAGAAGGGGAGAGTGTGCCTGACCCCGTTTGTTGCCTGTCTCTTGCTCACAGTGGCGGACTATCCGCTTTTGCATGCGGGAGGCTCCCGGCTTCAGTCACTGGCGTCTCCAGGTAGCAAGGGTTGGAAGCCACCTTTCTCTGCTGGAGAGAGTTTTGCTGCCAGCCTGAGTAGTCAGTACTGCCTACTGGGGTCACATCCCTGTGGGCTTGCAGATCGCTTTTACCCGAGTCATATTTCCTCCTAAGTTTGTTTTTCATCTGAGTGTGTGGCTTGGAGAATACTTTTACTGATCTTGCCTGGCATTTATAGGGTAGGGGGTGACTTAGACTGGGACAAGAGCAGAACCACTCCTGAAGTACTAAGGCCATTTTTTCCTTTTTAATAAAACACACATACACACACACAAAAAATACTTATGCAGCTTTTTTAGCAGAGTTTTTCAGTGTATGGGATTGAGGACAGGGCTTTGAGAAGAGGTCAGGGTCAGTTGCACCCATACCACACCCAGGAATACAAATACTGGGCAAGTTGGTTGGGTGATTAGTAGAAGCCTTATCCCAAGCCACATATTCAAATGAAGGAAGTCTTGGTATAGGAAGCTAAGGCAGTCCTAGGTTTGTGAAATAGTCCAGGAGGAGGAGGGAAGGAATAATAGTTAAGAAGGGGGGCCTGGTTTTTGGCAGGGAAATGGTGGTGGTGGTGGAGGGCTACTGGGTTACCCATATATGTAACTTATTACTAAATTCAGGCTTTGTACTAGAAGACTGGAAAGTAGCAAATGTTAACACCAATTTTTAAAAAGGGGTCCAGAAGTGAACCAGGAAAGTACAAGCCAGTTAGCCTAATATCTGTACGAGGCAGATTACTAGAACCTATAATCAGAAATTGAATTATTAGGCACATAGAGGAACAAAGCCTTCTGAGGGGAAATCAGCATGGCTTCTGCAAAAGGAAGTCCTGCCTCACCAACCTTTTTGGAGTTCTTTGAGAAAGTGAATAAGTATGTACACTACAGTGACCCAGTGGACTATTATATGCTTGGACTTTCAGAAGAATTTTAAGAAGGTACCTTACCAAAGTAATGGAATAAGAGAATAGGTTCTCTTATGGATTAAAAATTGGTTAAATCATAGGAAGCAAAGACTAGAAATAAATGGACAGTTCTCACTAGGGTGTCCAAGTTGTATCGGCGCTGGAGTGGGGGACTCCAGTGCCGCTCTGGGAGTGTGTGCGTAAAGTTTTCCCTCGGATGGTTGTGGCTCCGTGCCCGGCGTGGTCACGTCACTTCACTTCTGGGTGACGTGCACGTCGTGTGCTGTGGGGGTGGGGTTTCCCCCAGGGCCCGATCCGCCCGGTGTGGTCGCGTCACTTCCGGGTGACGTGCACATCGTGTGCTTTGGTGGTGGGGTTCCCCCCGGGGCCCGATCCGCCAGCGGCGGGGAATGGGCCTCCCCCCCGGGGGGACTTGGCAAGCCTAGTTCTCACAGTGGAGTGAAGTATGCAGTGGGGTCCAACAAAAATAGTTATTGGGATCAGTACTATTTAATTTAATTCATAAATGTTCTGGAATGAGGGGTGAGTGATATTGTGACCAAGTTTTCAAGTGACATAAAAATATTCAGGATGGTGAAAACCAAGGATGACGGTGAAGACCTCCAGGAAGATCTACACAAATTGAGTGAGTGGGCAACAATGTGGTAGTTGTTCAGTGTTGTTAAGCTTAAAGTGATGCACATCAAGTATAGGCTAATGAGGTCTGAGCTTGCTGAGACTGAGAGAAAGATTTTTGGGTTATAGTAGATAGCTCAATGAAAGTGTCAGCCCAGTTTGCTGTAGCAGTAAAAATGGCAAACTGTGTGTTGCGGGATTATTAGGAAAGGGACAGAAAATAAAATGGCTGATCTTAAAACGTCTCTGTATAAATTTATGGTGTGGGCTCATTTGGAATACTGTGTCCAATTCTAGTCACCATATCTCAAAAGGGACATTGCAGAACTGAAAAAAGCACAGAAGAGGGCAACCAAGATAATTAGGGGATTGGAGCACCTGCCTTATGAGGAAAGAGTCTGGATCTTTTCAGTTTAGAAAAGAAAGGACTACTGGGCAACATTAGGTTTATAAAATTATGCATGGGGTGGAGAGAATTGAGAAAGATAACTTTTTCTCCCACTCCTGAAATACTACAACGTGAGGGCATCCAGTGAAGTTGATGGGCAGTAGATTCAGGGCAAACAAAAGGAAATACTTTACACAGTGAGTGACTAAAATGTGGAATTTGCTGCCAGAGGCATAGATGGATTTAAAAGGGGTTTGGATAGATACATGGAGGATAGCCAAGGCCAGCTCGCTCACTAGGCGAACTAGGTGCTCGCCTAGAGCACGCCGGCCCTTAGGGGCACCAAACTGGCACCTGGCTCCCCCGCCAAAAGCCCTGCAACTTTCTTGACGGGGTGGGTGACTGCCGTGCGCTGACGGGTCTTTCAGTGCGCTCAGAAGCGCAGCCGTCCTCCTCTTGGAGGAGCAGGAGCCACTGGGCTCCCCACCCCCAGGAATTAGTGGTTAGGAGCGCAGACTCTAATCTGGGTGACCCGGGTTGGATTCCCCCACTCCTCCTCTACATGCAACTGCTGGCGTGGCCTTGGCTCAGTCACAAGTTCTCTCAGAGCTGTTCTCTCAAGGGCAGTCCTCGAAAGAGCTCTCTCAGCCCCACCGACCTCACAACCTTTCAGATTTTGTGTTGTTCATTCTTCCTAAAATGCGTTTATGTTTGAAAATTGGGGGGCTCACGGGGGGGGGGGCACCAGAAGGTATCCTTGCCTAGTGTGCAAAAAAAACTGGGGCTGGCCCTGAATAGGTCTATCAATAGCTACTAGCCATGGTGACCATGGAGCCTCCAGGTTCAGAGGGAGTAAACATCTGAACCTCAGTGTTGGGAGGCAACATCCAGGGAAGACCTTTGCCTCTGTGTCCTGTTGTTGACTATCCAGACAAACTGATGGCCACTGTGTAAGATGGGATGCTGGACTAGATGGACCACTGGTCTGATTGAGCAGGGCACTTCTTATGTTCTTATGACTTCTGGGTAGTGAGAAGTAGCAAGGTTTATATGAAAACAATTGTTCTGAGCTGTTTGAAGGTTATGGTGTACAAACTCTGGGATTTTGCGACTCTGGCAGTACTCATCAAGAGATGCACATACAGTACTCTGCTTTTGTATACATGCCTTATAGGAGCAGGCCACCAGGATTCAAGGGAGGAAGGGAAGATTGTGTTTCTGTTTTTTGGGATATAGGGAGTGGAGAGGAGTTGTGGGAATGGGGGGTTGAGAAATAGGAGTAATCTTATCTATATTAGCATTTATCAAGTCACAGGATGATGTAGGGTAAGTGCCCACTAATATACCAACATCTTAATACTTTCATTTCAGTTCATATCTGCAGAATGTGTAATTTCTACATTTTGCTGCAACTTTTAATGGCAGTTTACATTCAAGTGAAATGAATTAGAGGCTTTCTGATCAGTGGGAATAGCTTGGAATGGTTTAAAGGTCCTTACTCAGTTCTTACTTCATATGAGATGAAGTCAATGGTAGTCATGCTAGTTAACTTACAGAATCTAGATTGTACAGTTTGGAGCCATAACATGTTCTACAGTGTGAGGAGATGCAACTTGGAGTTGGTGAGGCTTTTTTGTTTTATGTTTTCCTCTTCATAGAACTAAAAAGAACTTTAGTGTCAGCCACCATAGGCTCTTTTTAGCAGAAAGGTGTTGGCAGTAAAAATTAATGCTAGAAGTTTGCAGTCAAAATTGACTAGTTCAAATCAATATGCACTATTGCAGCACAGATTGACTTTTTTGTTTGTACTGTGTACAGTTCTGGTTACCGCACATCAAAAAGGATATTATAGCAGTGGAAAAAGTGCAGAAAAGGGCAACTAGAATGATAAAAGGGTTGGAACACATTCCATATGAGGAAAGGTTAAGGAGCTTGGGGCTCTTTAGCTTGGAGAAACAAGGACTGAGGGTTGACATGATCTAGGTTTACAAGATTATGCATGGGATAGAGCAAGTAGAAAAAGAAGTACTTTTCTCCCTTTCTCACAATACAAGAACTCGTGGGCACTCCATGAAATTGCTGAACACTCAGGTTAGAACAGATAAAAGGAAGTACTACTTCACCCAAAGAGTTAACACAAGGAATTCACTGCCACAGGAGGTGGCGGGGGCTACAAGCATGGACAGCTTCAAGTGGGAATTAGATAAACATATGGAGCAGAAGTCCATCAGTGGCTATTAGCCACAAGGTATAGAGAAAAAACTCAAGATGACGGCGCCGTGGGGCGTTTGTGCTTGCGCTCCCGCGGGGAAAAACTGGAAATGAGCTGGAATACAGCGTCAATGCGACTTACAACTGGCTGAGCAAGCTCTAGAAAGAGAGTGGACTGTCGGCATAGGGAGAAGGTTGTAACATCTCCCGCTCCAGCGTGACATAAATCAACTATATTGATTAAAACATCTTGGCCCGGCCTACTGG